TCGAGATGCCAGAGGAAAAGGTTCTGAAGTGGATGCTCGTGCAGTTTGCAGGTGTACCATTGTATAAAACAGAATACAATAGCAGTGTAGACGTATGGCTGGACAAATTTGAAAGGACCAAAGGACCTTTAACCATCATGAAGACGGATGAGTTTAGAGAAAAGAGCGTCAGCCAGATTGCAGAAGTGAGTATTACTATTCTTCAACCTTCCTTTTTCATATTATATACTTCAGGCACTCCGCAGCTACGTTTCTAATAGCGGTTGCCAACATCTAGTCATAGACAATCTACAGTTTCTTGTGAACCAGTCAGCAATGACTAATGACCAATCTACTGGCTGGGATCGATTTTATGCACAGGACCGTTTTGTTGGTTATATGCGTTCTTTAGCAACGCAGCACGGAGTTCATGTAACAATGGTGGTACATCCAAGAAAGACCGATACAGATACTGACTTGGATATCCAGCATTTTGGAGGCTCAGCGCGAGTTACACAAGAAGCAGATAATGTCTTCGCATTGCAAAGACGACGTGATGAACTAGACCGTAGGAAATTCAGAAAATTCTTGTATATATTGAAAAACCGCTATGGAGGATGCAAAGTGGAGACAGATCAATTGGAGATGGTTTTCCACTCCGATATTTATACTCATACATTGATTGACCATTCAATTAAGGTTTAGAAATATTGACAACTTCCCGTTTGCTATAGCTGAAATGGATATTCTAATAACCAGCGATGACGAACGGAAAGCAACCATGTAGACATTTTCTAGTGTTCTCTTTCGTTGCCTCACAATGGTTTGTGTTACCAGCTATTACCAATACCTAATTTTTTTGCGGCGAGAGAGAATATTGTCATATTTCTTATAATTTCTTATAGGTTACACAAACTGGTGACTTCATGATTGCCGATCATGTACTGCCGTATTTTTAGCTATGTGATTTAGCAAGAGATAAGAAATAAATGTAACACTATGCATTACTGTTTCCCATGCCCCGCGGCTAATTAGATTAGTCTCCAATAAGTAATACCGTAGGTAGAAGAAGGGTAATGATTATTGCAACGAATTTAACTTCAAACTAACAATGCTGTTAACTGAAAACAAAGCGCTATTCAAGATAGAGGAACGACTATAAAGGCAGCTCATTTTTAATCCAAATCCTTCATCTTTTCTAAACCATTTCGCTCGACACGATGAGCCACTTTAATTACTGGAAATAGCAAAGACAACGATTTCGAGCCTTCTTTTGATCGAAAAGGACAAGTAGCAGAGCGGCGACCTATAATTTCCAAGATTTAGTCCTGAAACGATCGCATACCTTTCTCACTAGATAGCGCTTTTGAGCGAAACCAGACACGGGCGGTGCTGAGGGGGAATACACTGAGTGGGGGTAGTGACCTACAAGGAGTTGACCTACGTCTGAGCCGACCTCCTCGCCTACTATGGTGAACTATTTGCCCGGATATGGGGAATAGTTTAGTCAAAGAGTCGGCTATCATTACCTGATGAAAATTAAACACATTTTCCCACAAACACTGTCACAGGAGATGAAATTTTATGCAAATCGAAGTAACACTTTTAATCCATAACTTCCTATATTTAATTTAAGTTGACTTACTTCAGGGCAGCTTTAAAAATCTGGAAGTCGTGCGACCACAATATGGATGAGCGCAGCAAAAGAATCGAGTCATAAGTGAATCGTTAAAAAGACATTTAGCGTAGCTGTAATTCTAGCAAACAAACAGTAAAAACGTTTTATCCGCGTGCTTCTCTCTAGAAGTCAGACCAGAACAAATAAAACATAATCTATCTACAACTAAAAAATGAAAGAGTAAGAACTGATCCGACCGCTGAGAAAGAATGAAGCGCGATGTTGCTACCTGAAAGAAATAAGGTAGATACTAGAACGAAAATAAAAAGAGAAAAAATATTATTCCCTACCCAAACTTATTTTGTATCTCATTCTTTGCCCAGAGGTTCAATTGCATGCTATCCACAAAAGACATATACACCCCACATAGCTATAGGAAGGGCGTCAAAAATTACGACAGTAAAGTTTTTATTAGTGCCACTTGATACGCTGATCATGAATATGAATCTATCTGGCATGCTAACCCCTTGCTGTAATGAACTTTTCTCTTCCGTACATCCACGTATTTTAGTTCACACGAAATGGTATGATATGCGTAATAACATGTCAATTGATCCGCTAAGGAAATTTTCAAGAGGATTTGAAATTTTACTCCAATTAACCATATCTCCAAAATAAAGCGCTACATGCAGAATGGATATAACAACTATAATGTCAACTAACCCCCTGGGCGAAGTTTGCATTCCCAAATTTGAGTTTTGGGTAGAGAAAATGGAATAAAGCTGAAAAAGGGTACTTAACACCCTCAGAACTTCCCTGACTGGTGAGGAAGAAAATTGGGACACAAATGTAAAGGCAATAAAGAGATATGAGGAAAAGTATGCCAAAAAAGATACCTTTCCTATGCAGTAATCACTTCCACTTTTTGTTCTCGTAATCGTAGTATTTGGGCGCTCCCAAAAAGTTGCCCTGTAAAATCAAAAAATGACTGTGAGGAATGCTCTCCTCATCAAAAAAAGCGAGGATAGATAGTGCTACCTTCTCCAGAATAAGAGCTCGTTGAACTTGTGCTTCTTTGTATTCATCTTGGAACGTAGGCGGAATAGGGGGAAATACTGAAAATTTAAGTAGTGACTATT